ATTCATGAATGAGAGAAATAGATGGTATGTAGGCTATTGTCTCCAAAGGCATAATGGCATGTGCCACATATTGGCTATCAGTATAAATATTTACACTCTTATCAGAAAACTTCTGTAAAGGAAGCAACAGTGCCTGTACCTCTGCCATCTGGGCAGAAGTGCCCTGTACTTTTATTCTCTTCACTGTTTCCAGAAACCACCACAGCAAAACCACATGAAGTACCATCAGTAAATATAACACAGGCCTGAGGAATAGGAGTCATCTGTACTGTCTTGGGAAATATAACAGGATGTAATTTAAAAGAAAAATATTAACACACATCATTGGAGGGGTAGTGAGAATCAAACTGACCCTGCATGGAGCATGTCAATATGGTCCAATCATTATCATTAGCTTGCAACCATGCTATTTGAGACTGGGTGTATGGGGTCACCACAATATCTGGCTCCTTACCAAAAGTTTGAACACTGATCTTGATTCCCTTAAATATAATCTGAGCAACAGCCCACACTGCTGAGCCACTTCCTGCAGGGATATAAGACAAGAGGAAGTGTACTGTCTTGGAGTAAACTGCAAAGCAATGTATGGTAATGTGACAGGGAGCTGACACAACTGTGAAGCCCCCACCACAGCCACTGCTGCTCTCCTGCTGTGAGACCTCTCTGGGCCTCAGCTTTCTCACATGTGAAATGGGAATCATGACAGAGTCACCCATAGCATTAGCAGTCAGGCAGAAATGACAGGGTGTAGAAGGGTCTGGTGTGTGTGCTTGCTGGTGTCCTTGTTGCCATTCTTACATCATCACCGTAAGAGCAACATCCGTGATGAGATGCAAGCCTGCAAGAAGCAAGTGGTGAAATGAAACCTCAGGGAGCCAGATAGCTTACTTACCACGGGGGCCCAGGTAGCATGAGAGTCTCTCTGGATCCCACTTTATTATCCGATGACCTTGAACAAGTTATTTCATACCTCAAGGCCACGGTTGCCTCCTCTGAAAACCAGGAATGATAATTGTACCTCATTGTGCTGTTGGGAGGATTGAATGACAGGGTACCAAGAGCACTTAGCATGGTACCTGTTTATATCAAGTGGCCAGAAAGTAATAAGCGTCATTAAAACGGAAACACAAAATTTGATTCTGAGCTGTAATTCAAGTTGTTCTTAGAGAGGCAGAGGCTGGCACTCACCAGGAACCTGGTGCCTCTGTGCCTGGTACAAGCAGGGCTGGGAAAGGATGGCCACACACTGCAGCGGTTTCTCACACTGCTGGTCCTGCAGGGGTCTCAGCTTCCCTCTCCAATCTTCTAGAAAACTAGTCGCTGAAAGTCAGCATCATTGCTATGAATTATTACAGGTTCACGTGACTGCATATTACTGTTTGTCCAAGTAGAGTGAGCAGGGAAAGAGCCAGGGGCATGCTGCACTTTCGGGGTCATGTTCAGGAGGCAGTGGGTACTTTTTAAGGCAGCCTTGGTCTCCATCTTTGGGCTTATACCCACACTCACTCATGAGTCAGATAAACACTTTGTCCTCATAGTTGGAAAATAAAACAAGACTCATAAGGGAATTAATAAACAAGCCAAAGAATTCTCGTCTGCCTTTTAATTATAGAAGAGTGATTGCTATGCTAATCATAATCAGCATCAAGGTCAAAAGTTGCCACCACTCCGGAATGAACATTTAGAAAATAGATTAGCTAGAGTTCCCATGCTATTTCTGAACTCCCAGTTCACACAGCTTCAAAATAGAATTCTGTGTCTTTTAAGAGGAGCTATATAATGCTGATACATTGATTAATTAAATGTTACCCCACCGACCTGCCAATGCCCACAGCAAGGAGACCCATAAGAAGGCCCATGAATCAGAGTGGCTGCATATACTGCTGGGTTAATGCTGGTTATTTGTTGCCCTCAGCTGTTGCTTTCTCTCTGGCAGGTACCACTATCAGATGTGTTAAATGTACTTAGAAGTTAGGTTAATGCAAATAAAGAAATAAACATAAATGTACTTGTTGAATATGGATTCATTTCAATTTATTCCTGGGTATTGGCATCTCCGTTATATCCTTCTGTCTGTGGCTTTATAAAATTTGACTTCTGTCTCACACCACATGCAAAAATAGATTCCAGTTATAAAACAAAATGAAGTTAAAGTTAAAGGATATTATTCATATCAGAGAACATTATTCAGCCTTAAAAAGGAATATGCTGTTACATGCTACAACATAGATGAATACTGAAATTTTTTTTTGGTTTTTTTTTTTTTTTGGTTTTTTGAGACAGGGTTTCTTTGTGTAGCTTTGCACCTTTCCTGGAGCTCACTTGGTAGCCCAGGCTGGCCTCGAACTCACAGAGATTCTCCTGGCTCTGCCTCCCGAGTGCTGGGATTAAAGGCGTGCACCACCACCGCCCGGCAAATATTGAAATTTTTATGCTAAGTAAAATACTGAGATACACAAGGCCACACATACTATGTAATGTCATTGAGATGAAATATCCAGAATACATAAATAGACACAGAGAGGAGGGAGATAAGTGGATCAGTACTCCATTGATAAATAACGGGGCCAAGGAAATAGGGAACAATTGCTTTGTCAGAAGGAGGTCTCTTTGGGGGACTAGATAAAGAAGCTTGTCAATGCCCCTAACACTACCAAATTGAACACGTGAAAGAAGTTGACTTTATTGTAAAACGCCCTTCTTAATTCAGAAGAAGCTTAAGGAAGAAGAAAAACATAGGACAACCCACACGATTTGGGATAGAGCTGCCTTTTTTTAACCTTTATTTATTTTGTGCTTGTGTGTGGCACACACACATACACACACATGTGCCACAGCATACATGTGAAGAGCTAAGGACAATTTGTGGAAGTCAGTTCATCTTTCCACCATGTGTATTCTGGGAATCTAAGTCAGGCTATCAGGTTTGGAGGTAAGGTCTTTATCTGCTGAGCCATCTCAGTGTCCTCATTTTGGAAATGTGTGTGTGTGTGTGTGTGTGTGTGTGTGTGTTTATTGCCACGGAACACATGTACAAGTCAGAGAACAAATTGCAGGACTTGGCTGAAAGGATTGAAGTCAGGCTGTCGGGCTTGGTGATAGGCATCTCTACCTGCTGACTCTGGAGGGGCGGGGGCTTCCTAAGTCAGGTGCTCAGTCAGCATCAAGTAGGAGAGACTAATATCCACATGTTGTAAAAGATATCATGGTATGTATAAAAAGATAAACAAATGCTCATTGAATCCATAGGAAGACAAGACTAGTTTAAATTGTGTCTACAAATAAGTAGTTCATAAAAGGTTAAATGAAAATAACCAGGAAATATAAAAATATTGAGTTAAACATGCAGTAGCAATCACTAACTGACAAAATCCCCCCTCCATACATACACACAGTAGCTATCAAGGACAAGACCCCCCCTCACAGTAGCTATCAAGGACAAGATCCCACACACATAGTAGCTATCACTGATAAGCCCCCCCCAACAGTAGCTGTCGCTGACAAGACACCCCCTCCACACACACACACAGTAGCTATCAGTGACGAGATCCCCTTCCACACACAGTATCTGTCGCTGACAAGGTCCTCCTCACAGTAGCTATCACTAACTAGCAAGCCCCCTTCTCCTCCACACACAAAGACTAGAAAGTAGAAGGGACACTGGTCAGGAAGGAGGGATTGAGTCAGCAGATGGGAAAGGAATAAGAGGCAAGGATGTGAATGATCACAATACATTGTATGAAATGTGTGAAATCATCAAATGGGAGAAAACTCAATTAGTAGGGAAAAAGAAGAAGACCATTTCTTTTTTTAATTAAATTTTTAAAATTTATTTTATATACCAACCACAATTTCCCCCTCCCTCCTTTCATTGTGTTCCCTCCCTCCACCTCCTTTCTATCCCATCCCCCATCCACTTCTCAGAAAAAGTAAGGCCTCAAATGGGAGTCAACAAAGCATGACATATCAAGTTGAGGCAGGACCAAACCCCCATCAAGGTGTCCCGCCATAGCTCCAAAAAGTCAGCTCAGGCACCAGGTACAGACCCTGCACCCCCTGCTAGGGGCACCACAAATAGACCAAGCCACACAACTGTATCCCACAGGCAGAGGGCCTAGGATCCCTAGCTGTCAGCCTACAGTCCTTGGGGTCCCACAAGCTCAGGTCAGCTGTCTGTGGTTTTCCCATTATGACCTTGACCACTTCCTTGCTCATATGACCCTTTCTTCCTCTCTTCAACCTGACTCCTGGAGCTCAGCCCAGTGCTTGGCTGTGGATCTCTGCATCTACTTCCATCAGTTACTGGATGAAGGTTCTATGATGACAGTTAGGGTATTCACCAATCCGATTACAGGAGAAGGCCAGTTCAGGCACCCTCTCCACTATTGTGGGGTCATCCTTGTGGATTCCTGGGAGTTTCCCTGGCACCAGGTTTCTTCCTAAGCCCATAATGGCTCTCTTTATCAAGATATCTCTTTTATTGCTCTCTATGCCTCCCCAACTCGACTGTCCAGGTCCCTCATGTTCCCATCCTCCATTCCTGCCCCTCCACACCTTCCCTGCCCCCAGTTTACCCAGGAGATCTCACCTATTTCCCCTTCCCAGGGCAATCCATGCAAACCCCTTAGGGTCCTCCTTGTTACCTAGTTTCTCTAGGGCTGTGGATTGTAGCTGATTATCTTTGCTTTACATCTAATATCCACTTATGAGTGAGTACATAACATGTTTGTCTTTCTGGGTCTGGGTTACTTCACTCAGGATTATTTTTAAAGACCATTTCTTATTCATCAAGTTGGGGAAAATCCCACAGACACTATAAGAACAATGTTTTTAAGGAGGTGAGTAAAACGCAGTATTGTATCCTGCTAGAAGATATGTGATAGGTAAAAACATGCTGAAAAATAACCTTATCGTCTTTATTAAAATGTTAACTGTTTATGCCTTTGAACAATTTTCTCTTAAAAATCTATCTCCAAAAAATCAAAGCATAAAAATGTAAGTATGCTTTAGAAGAATTTTTATTGTAACTTTATTGATAGCAATAAAAATTATGAGGAATAACATGAAGGCACACAGGACACAGGGAGACAGATTGCTACATCGAAGAAGTAGAACATTAAGCTGCTGTGTTGGAGAGTCGGCTCAGTGGAAGAAAGAGCTTGCTGCCGGACCTGACGAGCTGAGTTTGATTCCTGGGACCCATGTTGTCGAGGGAGAGACCTAACTACCTCCAGTTGTCCTCTGAGCTTCATGAGTACATCTCAGCATGTGCACAAGATAAAGATGAAATTTTAAATTTATTTTTTTAAACAATATTAAGCAACTATGAAATGTGTCTCTGCATCTCTGTGTGTTTCTTGTGCTTTTTCTTTGGCTCGTTTTTTTTTTTCCTGTTTGTTTTGTCATATTCTGGTTTGTTTGTTTTAATTTACTTTAATTTTTTTAGATTCCTGCTTGTTTTCTAGTGAGAAAGACAATGAAAGAGTATGGATTGAGGTGGGTGGGGAGGTTGGGAGGATCTTGGGAGGAGCTGGGAGAGGGGAAACTGTGATCAGAATATATTGTATGGAAAAAAATCTATTTTCAATAAAAAAGAAAAAAATAAGTAATATCAGAAACATGTCAATCTATGTTTGGAGATTTCCTTATAGTATTAATTTTAAAAATTAAAGGACAGAGAAGTTGGAAATGTGCATTTAATGATTAATGTTAAAATTAGGTTGAGGAAGGGAAAGAGGAGATGGTTAATTATTTTTATATACCCCTGAAGCCTTTAAATCCATTTGGTATTTATTGTGTTTGTGTTTTAAGAAAAAGAAAAGATTGCTTCAAATAATAGGGGCATAAATATAAGTAGCTGCATTTAAGCTGCCATGTGGAATATGGAATGCCAGAGGCAGAGGCACAGGAATCATGAGTTTGAAGCCAGCCTGGGTCACGTAGTGAGGCCTTGTCTCAAAACAGCAAAAAACTCTACAATCTATATATTTCACAACTATTGAAATTCTTAGACTTTATTTAGAGGCCAGTATCTGGGGCTGGCATGTAGTAGCTCCGTGGTGGAATACTTGCCTAGCATGCACAGAGTCCTGGATTCAAAGTTTTTTTTTCCCAGGACTGAAAAACACAAAAGAAAACAGGGTGGTAGGTATCTGTGACTACTTAGAGTTGCTTTAAAAGCACATAAAAGTGGAAAATACTGAATTTCATCTGGTATCTCTTTCTACACCATTAGAAACCAAAGCCCAAATGAAGAGCTGAGATTTTGAGGGACTTCTGGACTTGGGAGCTTAAATGCAGCTGCCTATATTTATGTCCCTGTTGTTTGGAGCAATCTGTTTTTCTTTAATCCCAAACAAGGTCTCAGGGGGCTTCAGTACTGTGCATGGGAGGACGCTGCAGCTCCCTGTCTATCTTGCACCCTGGCCTGGGATCCACTTGGGTGCATTCCAAGACCCAGCTCTGTTTCTCAGCAGTTCTAGCCTCTTGCAAGTTACGTCTTTATGTTAAACCAGATACATCTTCCTGGCCACGGACCCAGTAGCTCCAGGAGTCTAGAGCCCAACGCTTCTGTTCAGAGGGGTGGAGATATGGCCCTGGCTCTACCACTAAGCATTTTTTTTTATCTTGTGCAAGTTCCTCCGATACTGCGCTTGCCTCCATTCCCAGCACAGAGAAAAGAATTATGTCTTTGTCCCCAGGATGATGACATGGGATAATGTAAATTATATCCACAGAATGCCTCTAGGTGACTTGGCACATTGCAAGCATTCACCAACTAGTGGCTGCTATAAATGGTGGGTTCCAGAGAAGATGGCTTCTATCCTCCCTAACATATGCACAGAACCAGCTCTTTTTAAAAAAATCATCCAGCAGTCAACTCATTTATTCACTCTCCTATTCACCAAATGCCAAAGACCCTCGCCTATCTGTGACACTACTGAGGCCACTTATCCTGCTCTTCAGACTTCCCTCTGCCTCTATTTCCCTGCTTTGCCCCTCTTCTTACTTTCCTTCAGACACAGCCTCCTAACCTCTCTTTAAATTATTTAATAATGCCTTTGCCTTTCCTATTTGCTCTTTTAGAATATTCTTCACCTACTCCATTCAGTTTTTCTCAGATGTCACCCATATGATATATGTGGGACCATCGTAGCCCAGAGGAGCTGGTCCCCAGTGTGCTCTTCTATGCTTACAGTGATGACATTCCTGACTGTTTGGTTCCCTCATGTTAGCATGTAAGCCTCACTATTACAAGGATGCTCTTACCTCCTTTGTATTTCCCATGTTTTTAGGGCATATAGAGGGATCTCAGGAAACAGTCTTTGTGTGAACACACAGGCTGTGTGTGTGTGTGTGTGTGTGTGTGTGTGTGTGTGTGTGTGTGTGTGTGTGTGTGTGTTCCATGAGGGGACCAGGTGTGTTAATTCAGAAGCAAACAGCACAGAACTTCATTTCTGTTTCTCTTAGAACCATCCTGTCCTGACACAACATTGTTTTAACAAGCCAGCTAGCAGACTGGCACAATAAATGTTGTTTATGTACAAGGCATCTTTATGCTGAGGCTAATAAAACAGCCCTATGGTACCAAAATCCTCAAGTTGAGTGACTGGTTAACTGTTCGATCATAAATAATTTGAGTTGGCAAGAAATATTCTCACTTCAGCCTATGATGCTGTACTGTTACTTCTCTGGACTTCATCTGACACACTGGAATATTATAGACTAAAAAGGAATAATAAAAAAAGGATGGCCAAGCAGTATATGTCAGAGAAAAAGGAATCAAGATGCCAAGAGTAGGAAGCTGAGAAGGCCACCCAGCTCCCCGACAGTTGGCACTGTGTGAACTTGTGATGGTAACACTGTCTTATGGCCAGAAGTGGGCACTGAGGATGGTTTGAAGGAAAGTGTGTGTGTGTGTGTGTGTGTGTGTCCTTCAGGACAACAGAGTGGCTGTCCATTCCATCCCATTACACTCTTCATATCACACCAAAGGTCTAGCCATGAATATGTGGTGTACTTAGCACTTTCAGGACTCTAGAATGGGAGTGAAATGGATTCACATTTAAATCTAGGTATGATGCTTTCTAGTTGGGTGGCCTTAAGTGAATTAGTTGGTCTTTCTGAACCTCAGTTTCTATATCTCTAAAATGGAATAGTGCTGATGAGATGACTCAGGAGGTAAAGACTGCTGTTACCAAGGCAACTGGATCCATCCCCAGGAAGACCTGGTGCAAGGAGAGAACCAGCTCTCTTCAAATTGTCTTCTGAACACACATGATATAGCATGTACTCATGTGCTCATAGCCATACACAAAAAATGTAATAAAGTGTCTTAAAGAATTTAATATGGGATGAACAGAATGATGACATTTTATTTTTACTCATCTAAGGACACCAACTACTCAGGACCCCCTCCTCTGCTTATTAGCTATGGCTTCACCATCTAAACTAGTCCTGCTGACAAAGAAATCTGCACCAAGAACTAGAGTCTTTGGGATAGTGGGAGATCAAATGGCAGCAAGAAAGGATGCTTGAACTGCTGCCCAGCACCTCCCAGGGCGTCGGGAGAGTTAGTAGTTATCTCAAATGTGGCTCACTTGAAAACTCTCTCATTTGTACATAGATTTGTTCCTTCCTTTGCTCTGGCTTCATTTTTTTTTTTTTTTTTTTTTTTTTTTACTGGAGACCTACACGGGTGTTATGGGAAGAAGAGCTGCTGTGTGGGACTGACTGTGCCAAACATGTTTTCATACCAGCAATTCATGAATTCTGTACTTCATTGACCTTTAATGGATTTTCAGTAATATTCTGGCCACCTCTAAATTTCTCTTAATTCGAAAAATAACTTCCTGGAAGCATGGTGTCCTTAATGAAAAGAACACACTTGTTTCTTCCTGCTCAGAAAATGGAGGGGATTATAATGTCTATTTTAGTGCAGGACACTATGAATCCAATCAGATCATGCTCTGGAACCATGAGCAAGCTGTCTCCTAGGAATGAGGCTGCTGGAAAAGCCTGCGGGCAGGTTGCAGCACAGCTGTTTGGACGGATCTGAGATGTGCTGCAGTTCAGTGACAAGGGGAGACAAACACGGAGAGTGGAAGTTGAGATGTCTTATGGGAAAGGAGGTGGGGCAGGGCCTGATGAAGAGCTAAACCTAGGAAGCGAGGTGGTATGCAGACGCTGTCCACAAGAAGCTCCAGGGATGACAAACTGCAAAGGCATTCTGTTTGTAGGGCTAAGAATCTAGAACAAAGAGTTTATAAATGGGAAGGCCTTCAGAATTCAATCTGAAACGCAGCTCTGTGACTGCTGACATGCACCGGCCTTCCTTTCCTCTTGCCCCAAGGGAACCCTACCTTCATTGGCAAGCCTGGGTTACATTCCACAAAGGCATTTTAGCCAGGAGCTCTGTTGGTGCCTGTACCTCCAAAGGCTATTGAAAAGAGTGCTTCTTAATAGAAGGAATGGCAACCAGGTACAAAGGGTTTGAATATTAGACTAACACACTAATGAATGGTCTAGAAATATGTTTGGTAGATCCTGGGTTTCAACAGAGGTGAGCAGACTGTCCCCTGCCACATGCATAAGTCTCAAAGTGAGAACACCCTTTCCTCCCTGGACAGGTCGGTCCCATGTGCTTCACCCTCTTCTACCTCGCTTTCCAGGAAATCTGGGAATGGGTCTGCTGTCAGGACTTCTGACTAAGCTCAAATGCTGGTTCCAGTGCTCCTTCACTGGAACATTGAGATGAGGTGGGAGCTGAGGTTTTGGCACCCTACAGAAGGTTGAAGGTCAGGGCTGCATCCAGGGGTGAGGCTAAGGCTTCTTGGAGACTGGCTGGCTCAACACTAGCAGAGTCTGCTATTTATAACATCTATAGTTAGAGATTGCTGCCTACTTTCTGGGATGGCATATGGTGTAAGCCAGTACATCTGGGACTAATGTTACATAGTTTCTAGAATGGTAATATGAGAAGAGCTTTGAAAAACTCCCATGCTAGGCATAGGGTACATATTTGTAGTACCAGCACTCTAAAAGGCAGAGGCAAAAAGATCATGAGTTCAAGGCTGGCCTGGACTAGATGGTTAAGACTATCTCAGAAGAATGACAAAAAAAAAATGCTGAATTTCAAGGATCCAGAAAGTCCATGTATTCTCTTCTCTGGGTGGTTTAATTGGCAGCTGTATGTCACCTTAGGGATACAATTCTTCCTGATCCTTGCTAACTGTACATATGTGTTATTTGTGTGTGTGTGTGTGTGTGTGTGTGTGTGTGTGTGTGTGTGTGTGTGTGTGTATGCCCACCTGCACAACTGTTGCTACCTCTTCCTGTCAATCTCTGTACTGATATCATGGGTTGGTCTGAAAATTCCTTGGAATCGTGACTATAAACTATTTAACTACATCTCCGGAATATATTAAGTGTTGCAATTACTGGGCATTGTTAGTGTCTCATTGCTGGTGGGGTTTGCCAGGAAAGGAAACGAAGTTTCGTAATGCTGAAGCAGTCTGCTTAGGAGCCTGACTCCTCCTTCACATCTAGCACCCACTCAGGACCTGTTCCCCAAACTCGTGGCTATTCACAGCCTGACAAGATGTTCAACAAAGTGTAGGTTTGGGTGGCAGTGAGCAGTATTCCCTTACCACATGCACTGATCTCAGAATGAAAACACCCTCTTTCACCCCAGGACTGGCTCTAGCCCATGGGCTCAGCACCTGCCATCCCATTTCCAGAAATGAAGATGGTTTTACTCTTATCTCGTGACTTCAGGAATTTCTTTCACAGTTCAGCATTTGTGCACACTTGACACCAAATGTTCTCAAGGCTTGTCATTATCTTTTAGTGCTTCTGAAAGACAAACAAAACCTTCAAAGGTGCTCAAGAGCTTCTTTCTGGCCTGTAAGGATGCGCTCCCTCTTCACCTGACCTGACAATATCAAGGCTTTGGCCCCTGTCTATTTCTGACAGCTGTACCTTGTTTCCTGGATACCACAGTGGGATATAACAAGGACTTTTGCCCAGCATGACAAGTCACAGCAGAGCAGAAGCTAGTGTGGAATACACACAGGCCTCCAGACAGGTCTGCCCTTGGGTGACAGATACCAAGTCCATCAAAGTCACAGAGTACCTATTATTTTGCCTCATTCTTTGTCAGTCAAGTTCAATCCACCTGGAAGAGGCAGCACCCAAACCTGGCTGAACAGAAGACACTAGTGGTTCACAGTATCAAGAAAGAAGGCCATTTCAGCCTCAGGTGATGGGGCAGGAGGAAGATTGAGCTAGCAGAGGACTGCTTTGGCATGGGGTGTTATATACCCCATAGGAGCCATGCTTAGGTTGCCTGGAAAGGCCACAGTATCGGAGAAATTAAAGCACCCAGGATTTGCTGTCAAAGCAGCTGTACAGAAAGGGCACTGCTGACTGCGACAATCTCAACAGCCCCCAGTCACACACACCTCGTCCTCTCAGAGATCCCCTGAGCCACTTCAGCCCACCCTCCATAGGAGGAAACCTGCAGACTGCCTCTGGCAGCAGATGTTCCACAGGGCCCAACCTGCTCTTCTGAACAATCTGTCAAGAGCTGTACTCAAAGCAAAGCTAATCCATTTCTGCCTATTCCACAATCACTCCCACAAGCCCAGCTCTTAGGAGACTCTGCTGCTGCTCTTTTCTATCCAACCTCTGTATCTTTGGCTACAGAACAAAGACCTCCTTATAAGGGATGGGATGAGTTCAGGAAATCCCTGCCTTTCTCTCATGGGCCTCTGTTTGGGGGTCTGTGCATTTGGAACCATACCTACTGCCTCACACAGAGGAGAGGATAATGAGTGCCTTTGAAAGTTCTTAACACACTGTTAGTCATGGTGTGTCTGGAAACAGACAGCCTCGGTATCCAAGAACAGAGTGAACATGGATGTGTCTGATCAAGTGGCAGGCCATCTGGAAAACTAGAGAAGAACGTTTGGGGTAAAACTCAGATTTCAAAAATATTGAGAGATTCAAGCAAGTCCTAGAAAACAGACATCAAAGGAACCAAAGAAATCAATCTGAAAACAAAAGTTATGGATGTCAACAGTATTGTTGACACTATTCCGAGGCCTTAGGATATATAGGATGTATGGATATCAACTTTATTGTAGACACTGTTCTGAGGCCTTAGGATACATAGGGTGTATGAATATCATCTGTGTTGTAGACACTATTCTGAGATCTTAAGATACATAGGATGAATAAAAGATAACCCTGCCCTTGCTGGAAGTCCTAAGAGTGCAGGACAGAAGCTGGGGTTTGATCTTTAACTGATGCTAAAACACAGCAGTCGTCTTGATGCTGCAGTTAAGAAGCTGGGCTGAAAGGATTGGCACGGGCAGTACTGAGCTAACTATAGCTTGGCGATCCCGTTTCCCTGTCGGTGAACTGCAGGAGAGAGACCTGTACTCGTCCCCAGAGGGATCCTAGAGGAAATGGACTGCCCTAGGAATTATCAAGTTCCCATAAAGTCAGGGCAAAGACATCCCAAAAGTAAGAGCAGAATAAACATTTAAATAATGAATTGTCCATTTCTTTTGCTTTGAAGCTGAACAAAAACAGTTTACCTTTGAACTACGTGTAATTCAAACATGTGCATCTGGCATATTAGGGCTGGGTAATACATAGCTGTGAGCTAGTGGTCTTCTTGAAGTAAACTACTTTTGTTGTTTTGTTTTTTAATGGATTTGGAAATTTCAGAATTCTCTTAAAACAACTGGAAAGCCAAGTTAGTCTTCTGTGACCCTGCTCTGTTCCTGAGAGAGGAAAAAGCAACAATTTTATTTTGCAGGTTGTTAGGAAAACACTCGTGGTCATTAGCTACTTAGCCAGAGTTAACAATTGACAATCACTGTAATTGTTCAGCCACTTTGAGAGAATGAATCCAGTTGCCTCCATAATACCTTTGATTATGCCATTCTCTAAGAATGGAGATGATTGATTATTCTATTATTTGATGTACCAAAACCATGACAAGCAATGACATATCTGTGCTATGGTAGTCCCTGGCCTAATGAAAAGTGTAATTAGTCTAAAAGGGAATTTTCACAATTGAGTGTCTCTTGATTGATTTTGAAAACTTTTAAGAATTGCATGTGTTTATCTGTTTAATCAAAAAGATTTGTGCCAGGGAAGGAATTCCTTGAGGTGGAAACTGCCCCTGATTCTAGCAAGCTGTCTTTTGTAGCTTCTAGTGAATGATGTGAGCTCACTGACAGCAGAACTGACCCAGAGTGGGAATCAGGTCTTACCAGCAAGATTCTAGCAAGAGTCTTTACAGTGAGATGCTTGTATTTGCAAATTTTTAAATAGAATGTTTAATTATTTTGGTTTGTTTACTTTCTTCACCCTGACCCTCACTTATGATATAGGAATATTATAACAAAATGAAGACATTTCAGGAAAGAGAAACTAAAATGGAAACAATTATAAGCCTTGGAAAACAACAAACAACAATAAAAATCACATTGGCACCTTAAATTTGGCAATACCTTCTCTTTTTTTTTTAAGTTAGTTAACATTGCAGTATTTGAATAGGATTTTATCACAAATAATCACCAAGTTTGGTGCCTTGTGTGTTCTTCAATCCGTTGCAGCTAAAATCCCCATTTAAAATGGTAAGCAAATGTGAATTTCTATCAACTTGCCAAGAGTATGGTCTCATTTAGCTTTAATGAAATCTGGCTTTTAGCAGCGTCATGAATGCTCTGATCCACTGCTGTAGTCACTTTAAGTAGGCCACAGACACCCAAGGATGTTAACATAAAGCAAATCAAACATGACAGTTTTTTATATCAGTGTTTAAAGCCCCAAAATAACAACCTCTAAACTTCAGCAAAAACAATTCTCTTAAGAGTTTTGCTGTGTGGTAAATATAACTGGCCTTTCTGGGATATTCACTCTCAATATTTGATTAAACTAGTTATTTGTCTCTTTGGTGTGACAGAAGCAATCTTAAGGAGAGAAGGATAAATTTGACTTATGGTTCCAGAGTATAAAACTCCATTGTTGTGAAGAAGGCATGACCACAGGAAAAGGACATGGCTGTTTACATGGCATCCACAGTCAGGAAGCAGACAGAGATGCTGGTGCTCTACTTACTTCTTCCTTCTTACTCAGTCTAGGGTTCAGTCCATGGAATAGTACCACTTATATTGGGTAGATCTTCCTAGCTTGATTTACCTAATCCATATAATCCCTCAAAGACCTCAAATAGATTTGTTTCTGTGGTGATTCTAAATCTCATCAAACTGACAGTCAAGACTGGTCATCGGAATGATCAACTAATAAGAAAGGCAAAATATCTACTACTAACCCACTATGTCCCTCCCCACAAAAACACTCCAGAGAATACCAAGGAAATAGGGGGTGGGGGCACAGTGTGAGATGCAGTGATGAGCAAGGTCCATGACCTAATAGACGCCTCAAATTCAAAGGAAGGCTGTTTTCCCCATGGCACATGAGAAGATGGACAACATGTTAGACTTTGCTTCTAGCTAGCATGTCTGTGGCCTTTCAGCCTTTGGTTATTTGTGAGGAAGCTACCACTGAAGCTTCGGCTTCTGTTCTATGTGTGCTGTTATCAGCCCTTCCCACAAACGGATGACAAATGGTTTGGGTAGGAAAACAAAAGCTGGCTCCTGGGTTTGTTTTAGAGAAGCCATAAAGTCCAAGAGCCTTTATGATGTGCCCCAGAAAGTCAGCAGGATGCTCCTGTAGTGGCCCAGTCCCCATCTGCGCTCTCAGGTCTCTCTGCCATTATTGACTTTTGTAGATGAATCAACAGAAATGAAGCCAATTTGCACTCAGAATTGTCAGATCAGAATTTCAAAGGCTATTCCATTTTCTAAATTCCCTTAAGACTCATGTTCAGCGAAGTAACATGCTGCATAGTCTGGCCCCAATAGTAAGCATTCAGCTTATAATCCCAAGATCAAAATGCCAGCATGGTTACTTTCTTCTTAGAGGATGAAACAGCTGTTCCCATGGCTAGATAATAAGGAGATAGTCCTATGAAAGGTAGCAAGAAGGACCTGAGAATGACTGTGGAATTGAGGCCAAGTGTTGACATTTGCTGATTTTGTGGCAGGATTTCAGCTCCTTTCTCATGAGAAGAGAAATGATAAGCTATAATGATATGAAGAGAATAATATGATTAACTATGCATGTGATTTGGCAAGAAAAGATGGCCATGTGCTTAGCTGGGAGCTGGGAGCCCCAGGCTTCACTTCAGTCTCTGAGAACTTGTTCTGGGTCTCCAGAGAGTCTTCACTCCTGTGGCAGCAAAGTAGGCTGTAGAGAGAGGAATTGAGCATAATGTGAGAAGAGGACCCATTAGTAGAAAGTCTAGAAACTCCTTCCCATGAGGGCTACATGTGAGGGACAGAACAGGCATGATAAATACCCGGGACATAGCCATTCTGGAGAAGGCACATGCTACACAGCTTCATGCCATTGACATTCCATTACACTGCCAACATTTCTCCTCCTATGGCTCATTCCTCTCTCCTTTAATAAATTATTTTTGTTCCTACCTCTATCCATGTGTTCCTGGTACAATCCCTTGTTCTGGACAGAACCTGGAAATCCCATGGGGACCCTCCAGAGTCTGGTCCATGCCTATAGTATCCCGACTTTGTTCTCTTCATTTGCAAAGTGAGAGTCTTGGACCTAGAGCCTCTGTATACTATGGGATTCTTTTTACTATGTTTCCTTGTCTTGCTTGAGAAGTTGTAAAACTTCCCAAATCCTCCAAGTGTCATGAGGCATAGGGGAACAGTATGGAGCAAGTGCTTTGAAATCAGTCTGATTGAATTAAAGTTCACATTTTCCTGATTTGAGTCACATGGCTGTAGACAAATATTGAGTATCTTTCCTGCCTCTAGGAGGGGGATAATGATGATTCTTTCCCCTAAGGCTTATGAGGGGGGAGTTTGAATTAATAAAATTGGAAGGCTTTACTTGAAATGCTGGGCTACCATAAACTTAGTGACTTAAAACAATACTTTATTTTCTCATGGTTCTATAATGAAAATCTGTCGGGGTCTTATTAACCTAGAACCAAGGGCAGTGCTCCCTTCCAGAGCTGTTATGAGCTAGCTTGTACTCCCCTTAATTCATAAGTAAACCTCAGAATTTGAGATTACCAATATTTGGAGGTATGATCTTTAAAGAAGTAATTAAGTTCATAAGAACACTTTAGGATGGGGGCCTCTGATCCAGTCTGACTGGTGTCCTTACTAAAACAAGGGACTTGGACTCACAGAGAGACATCATGGATGTGCTCATATCTCATATAGAGTGAAGACCCTATAAGGACACAGCAGAAAGGCTACTACTGACTAACAGGTAGGAGGAGAAACTTTAAGAGAAGCTGAACTTGGTGATACTTAGGTCTTGACTTTCAGTTCCAGAATATGACAAGGTAAATGTTCACAGTCCATGCTGTACCTTTCTAGAAAAAGAGTGCAGAACCCATAGGAGAGAATTTGTAAAGCCCCTAGAGGCCACTTGCATTCCTTGGCTTGTGACCTTTTGATCCATCTAACAAGTGAGCAAAAAGGAGTTTGGTCTTCTCTTGTCTCCACTCCCTCATTAGCACCCTCGTTTCTTCTGCGATTGTACCCTCCTGCCACATATTGAGGTTTAGAATGTGATTACCAGAGTTAGTGATGAATCCTTAGTTACAAGACTTGCTGTTCTTCCAGAGGACCCAAGTTTTCCAGTGGACTCAAGTTTGGTTACAAGAACTCATAGTGGATGTCTCACAATCGCTTGTAACAATAGTACCAGGGGACCCTTTTTTGGCCTCCACAGGCACCTGAGCATATGTGCCATACATTCAGATTGACATACACATCACATAAATATAAATAAACTATTTAAAAAATAATATTATAGTGTTTGGGAGTCAGTATTCTTCTGACAATGCTCCATTACTTCTATCTGATACATAGAATTTTGTATCATCCTATTGGCTTCTCTGGCTCCAAAACTAAATGTAAATTATCAAAGAATTAAAATCCATTGGGTAGAAACTGGGAAATAATCTTGTCCTGTAATTCATCCTTGCTTTTTCCATTACAACACTGGCTTCTGCTGACATAAGCTTATCCCAGGGCACAACAGAAGTGATGCTCCAGTGAGGTGGAGCTTCAGCATCTTGATTTAGCTGCTGTTTCACACATGTCATAAGCCTCATCCCAATGCTTAGGGACTTTCTGCTCTGGGTAGAGTGGTGGTTTAGGCCAAAATTCATCATGCAATTTCTGAAAGATTTGCTGTTTGACTTACAAAGGAAAGCATCAGCATTGAGAAGTGGAGCTAGGTTGTATGTCTCCATCTCATGTTTGACTTGAATTTAGTTCAAGAAATAAGAAGCTCAGAGTACATAAAACAAAGACAATGTATCTCTCAAATGCTATTTGTAGTCAAATGACATAAACTGGACTAAAAGTATCTTAAACTGAAATGGGAATGTATCAGCTCATACAACCACCAAGTACTAGAGTGGATCTCACTATGAACTTGGTTTTATCTAGGATTCTGCAACATCCTGAGAATTAGGAGTCTTTCCCTGATGTGGGATGTCCTTCTGTACACGTGAATATGTGTTGCTTTTATTGGTTAATGAATAAAGCTGCTTTGACCTATGGAAGGGTAGACTATAGCTAGGTGAGAAAGCCAGACTGAATACAGGGAGAAAGAAGGGCAGAGTTAAGAGAGACTCTACCCAGCCACCCAAGGAGCAAGATGCCAGCAGATCAGTAATGCCAGAGTCACATGAAAAAATATAGATTAATAGAAATGGGTTAATTAAAGCTGTAAGAGCTAGTTAGTAATAAGCCTGATCCATGGGCCAAACATTGATAATTAATATAAGCCTCTGAGTGATTATTTTATAAGCAGCTGCAGGACTGGGTAGGATGCAGAAATGTCTCTGATTACATTTGACACCCACCATCAGGCATGAATCCACATGAGACCTGAGAAAGCTTAAAAAAATAAAGGATTCTAGAACACATAAATGGAACTCAAAACAGCACAGCATGCTTCATGGCAGATTTAGCTTTTACTCATACAAACAAAAAAAGGTTTGTGGGTTACTGCATGTTACCTGGTGGCAGCATGGACCCCAGAGTTTGAGGGGTAAACATGATTATCCTGGGTACCTCTGTCATGTTGGGAAGCCAAAAAATGGGGTGGAGCCAACAGCCAAACTCATTGCTTTGGTCCTAGCCATGCCCACTTAGTAGTTTAAAGGAGTGGTCAGAAAAAGATTACAGATACACAATGAAGACAGATCAGATGAAAAGAAACCTCTAAACAGGTCACAATGTGTTTTAAAGAATGTATGTAGGCTTGGGAGAGACAGGAAAAAAGAGTATACGAAGTTATAGAAAGAAATAAAGTTTTAAAAAACAGTCTTTAAAGAGACAGTAAAAGTAACATAAAAGAAATAAGCCACGTAAGGACGGAAATACACAGAGAGTCTGGATTGTGTATATTACCATGTTTTCTTTGAATTTTTTTAACTGTTAATGAGCTAACTTCTGAGAGATATTTGATTGTAGGGCTACTAAATTAAACCAGCATATGTATTTTAAAGGTATCTTGACTTTCAAATTTGGTCTAAGGATATGTTGCTTTGGAAAAGAGGTTCTGCTTTTGTTTCCACAGAAGATGAGAACCTGTGGATTGCTTCCAGGTTAATATGGTTTGATTGAGCAAAACCCCCTGAAAGGTCTCCAATGGGAATGATGGCCCAGGTGATCTAACATCCACAACAGCTTCAAGGCTGCTAGCTGAGATGGAGCAACCACACAAAATACCCCAGTCAGGACTTGACCATAATTCTAAATTTTCTCAGGATCCCCATAAGATTACCAGTGCCCCAATCAGCAAGAAGTAGTATAAACAACTATGCCCAAATTCCCAAAATATTGTTTATGAATGTTTATTTTAATTTAAAGGGGGTTGGTTATAATTGGCTAATGGTCATAATCAATCTTTTTCTAAAGGAAAATGAGAATATAATACAGAAATGATGAAACAAAGGTAGATTACTGAATCTACTTTAATAAAAAAAAAAACCTGTTAATCTCAAAATGCTTTACATTGGTATGGATTTTGGTTTATTGATACAAATTCAAGGTCAATTTTGTTATACCGTCTATATATTTCTACTCTTATTTAAGGTATTATGTTTATACAGCTCATTAAAAATATAATGTATAGTTAAAAATATAAATTAATAGTCATCTATAACAGTCAAGCTTATTGTCATGTTAGATTTTCTAGATATGCAGAAATACATGTGAGATGGATAGGTAATTTTCAAACACTTCAAATACCTACAGAATATGGCATTTAAAATGTTTTGTTAACTTAGGGCTTTTCATGACAATGAGACATGTCTGCTCCTGGCAGCACCAATTACTTCAAAGAACAATGGGCAAAAGAAATTGCTCTTGCCTTTGACTGTTGACAATGTGCTGTGGAGACTGGACATGCAAAGCATACAGGAGAAAGACTGATGAACTTTGCCAAAATAGGCAGGACAGTTCTTCAAATTTCCTGCTTCACTAAGAAATCTGCCAAACTCTCTAGGCCTATAGACTAAAGATGGATGCACCAACATTACAGAACTTTGGGTGGACTGTCCAGGCAGCCAGATAAATCTGTCATTTCTACAGCTTTGGAAGTTGCTTGCCATGCACTTCCTGTTTCCTCAGGTAATGTTAAATCTTCCTGGGGTCTTTGATGGAGGTAAAGACTGAATAGTTATAATTGTAGTTTTCCTTAGTTATGATAAAAGATAAATTAGATATAAAACTTTAGACTCACAGAGATAGGATAAGTGATAGAGTATTTTCTTTAATTTGCCAAAAAATAGACTAAATATTATAACTGTAACTCTTGCTTGATATCTGTTTTGTTATATGTAATTTTACAATGTTAAAGTTAGAATCTTCCTTTTTAATTAGACAGAAAGGGGGAGATAATGTGGAATGTCCTCTATGCTACAAATATGTGTTGCTTTTATTGCTTGATAAATAAAGCTGCTTTGGCCTATGGAAGGGCAGAATATAGTTAGGTGGGAAAGCCAAACTAAATACATGGAGGAAGAAGGGCAGAATCAAGAGAGACACCATCCAGCTACCCAAGGAGCAAGATGCCAGCAGACCAGTAATTCCACAGCCACACGGCAAAATATAGTTTAATAGAAATTGGTTAATTTAAGCTATAAGAGCTAGTTAGTAATAAGCCAAATCCATTGGCCAAACATTTAT